TGGCCATGAGGCAGGTGGACAGGGGTGGTGGAGAGGAAGTGGGGATACTGCTAAAGGGTGGTGGTTGGTGGGCTAGGAAGGCAGTCCTGAAGGGAACGCGGCAAGCCCGGGCTCTCATAGGAAGGCTGGAGACACAGCTCGGTGTCTGCTCAGGAGTGCCACACAGGATAGGGGACACCTAAAAACACAGGCCATGGATTCCTGTGAGTGCCCCTACTGCCCAAATTCAGGTGCCAGTTTTTCCTGGAAGTGCCCAACCTCTGCTCCTGTTCCCCAACTCGGAGCAGAGATGAAGCCATCTCTAAGGGTTACATCAGGTGAGGGGGCCCTACAACCCCGCCCAGCCTCACCTGGTCACTGGACTTTTCCTGAGACCGTAATGGGGGCCCCGGATCCATGGCACGGTGTCCTCTGGACGCACTCCGGGATCATGTGACCGCCAGAAGCTGAAGTTCTGGGCATCAGTCAAAGGGACCCTGAAGACCTGATTCGGGACTGAATGGGTTGGAGAATGCGCAGGTTGGCAAATTCCTTTGTGCTCTTTGTTCCTGGTACTGCACGAAAGCAGTACAAATGCAGCCCAGCAACTGGGCCTGACCAGGTGCTGAGAGGTCCTGGGAATGTGGTCGCCACCCCCTGTTGCCCTGTCTCACTTCTGGATTCTGACCTCTCACAGCCTTCCTGGTCAGATGCATCAGTCTTGGTTCTTCCCACTGCCAGTGAGCGCATCTCCAAGATAGCTCTGCCCATAGGCGGAGAGGTGAGAAGCAAGTGGTACATCCTCTTAGAAAGTGAGCCTCTTAGATGGGGCCCACTGGTTCATTATTTATCTTATTTGGGGGGCTTACTCATCCTCTCTCCTTTTCTTGTCTCTGAAATAGTGCCCTTTGTATGTGCTGGGTAATTCTTTAAAACCAACAATGATGACTGAACTACTCAATTTTATGATATATGAATAAAAGTACAAAACCGTTAGACAACAACAAAAACCTCAACAATGATACCACCGCATCTTTGGATACCACTCGTCATTTATCAAGTGCCTCCTCTCACGCTCCACATCATACATTCGCTTTGCCATCAAGGCAGTGCTGGCTCATTGCAGATGCTTGTGGGTTTCCGAGATTGCCCCTGTTCATGGGAATAGAAAGCTCAGTCTTTCTCCTGGGGAGCTGCTGGTGGTTTCGAACTGCTGACCATGTGGGTCACAGCCCAACATGCAACCACTACATCACCAGGGATCCTTGACATGATACAATAGATCAGTGGTTCTCAACCTGTGGGTCAAGACCCCTTTGGGAGTCGAACAATCCTTTCACAGGGGTCACCCGATTCTTAACAGTAGTAAAATTACAGTTATGAAGTAGTAATGAAAATAATTTTATAGTGTGTGGCGGGGTCACCACAACATGAGGAACTGTATTCAAGGGTCATGGCATTAAGAAAGTTGAGAACCACTGCATTAGATGCTTTGAAAAATTTAAAGATACTAGACTTAGCTTGGTGCTTTAAATTTCTTTTCACTATTTGGATAAATCTAATCTAATTAGACCAGTGAATTTTATGTAAAAGTCTTACATATTTTCTTCACTTGGAGTTATATTCCCTAGTATATAGTCTTTTTTTTTTTTTTAAACATTTTATTAGGGGCTCATACAACTGTTGTCCCAATCCATACACACATCAATTGTGTAAAGCG